ATAGATATATAGTTACATTGTCTTAATGAATAGAGGGATTTGTTGTAATAGTGTTTGTAAATAGGATATCATGTCTGCATCTTGTACAGCAAATAACCACAATGAAGAGAGTATGCAATATGTTAATTATTGGAACTGTCTTACCAATTTGATTTGAAACTGTCTCATTGCTATTTGTTTCTCAATAAAATTATGGAAAAAAATAAACATATGTTCCATTGGAAAAAAAATTGAAAGCCACACACATTTACTATCCAGCACATAGTCTGACAATCTCTCTTAGAGAAATAAAACTCTAAGACAAAGATAAGTGCACACAAAGATTTACTGACTTTGTTCAAAGTGGCAAAATCAACAGTAATAAAACTATAAGGAGAATGAACATACTTCAATAAGGAAGTTAAATAGATTATCGTATAACTATTATTAAAACAAAATCAGCATATGATCACATTTGATTTGTATGATGTATATGAGGTATGATTGAAAAATAGTGTGTTTGAATAAAAATGTGTTATGATAAAAGGCACATTGCCCCTAATCCCTTTGAAAATACACCTCCTTGCTTCAAACACACTTATTCTGAAGAAGTTCTAGAAGTACTCTTCATGAGTATCTTTAATTATATTGTCTTGACTGCCTTGAATCATTCAAAACATTTGCCTTCCATGGTCATTTTGATGTTGGGGACAAGCCAGCAGTCATATGGTGCCAAATATGGCGAATAGGGTGGATGAGGACACACTGTAATGTTTTATGTGTCAGCAGTGGCACTTACTATGTTTTTATCATATCTCATAGGGATACTTATAAAAGAGGATGTCCAGAACTGCTTCAGAAAGTAGTAAGAACAATGTGCTAAGTATATTTGAAGTGAGGTGAGAATGTTTTGAGAGGGATTAATGGTAATGTTTTTTTTTGTAAAAATTTAAATATTCATTGTATTTTTTGATTGACCCTTATAACATACCTAAAAATGTTGGAGAAAAGGTAAAGGTATATTTGAATCTGTGACTCAGAGAACCTATGACTTTCTGAGAAAAGAAGTGAGGAGGAATAGTTTTTGTAGTATGAGTGTTTGGGTTAAAACATATCATTTATAAATGCAGCTTAGAGAAGCTTCTCTAGAAAGTGGTGGGAAGTTATAAGTCACCTTTCGATGCCCATCTAGTTCTCAGGTTCTGTGGTTTTGTGGGCCTTCTTTGGCTTTTGACCTTGCTACTTAGGGGCCTTTAGGATAACTTTTGTTGTATGTTTTGAGTTGGTGCTGAAAGAAATGACCAGAAGATTCGATGAATATAGGTTCAGAAGTCTCACTGAGATTAGTTTCTCTCGAAGTGAGCCCAGAGCCACAGAAGCATCTCACATTTATTGAGGGCTAAAGGCAGATTAAGAAATGTGCATCATTACTTTGGTGAACACAAACTACTTTCTCTATGGAACTTCCACATTTGCCTTCCACATTTGCCTAACACTAAGTTTACACAATGCTAGCCATTAACATCCCCACCAAGGGATCAAAGAACTGACAGGGTGCCCCATTAGGAAGGAGAAGCCCTCATCTGCAGCCTTGAATCCCAGTTTGCTGGAATTTGCAAGTGAGAGACAGCAGTCCTTGGACTCTGTGTATTGCTCCTTGCTCCCTTGGGACATTCGGCTTTTGTCTCATATCTATATTTTTTTTTCTTTCTTTTTAAATTTTATTTGTGTGTATGTGTGTGTGTGTGGCCAGCCCAGCCCACCAGGGGGCGGAGCTGAGTGGCATGTGGTGCTGGGGGATTGAACCGTGGTTCCTGTGCTTTGCGAAGCTTGTTCTAAGTAGGTGCTTTAGACCACTGAGCCATCTCACCAGCCCTTTTTTTCTTTCTTTCTTTCTTTCTTTCTGTCTGTCTGTCTGTCTGTCTGTCTGTCTGTCTTTCTTTCTTTTGGCGGAACCAGGAATTGAACTCAGGCCCCTGTGCTTGCCAGGCAAGTGCTTATTCTACTGAGCCATCTCCCGGCCCCTCGTATCTATATTTCTGTAAGCTTTAAAAATTGCAAGATTAAGATTTCTAAATTTTATTCATTCATATGTGTACATATTATTCAGAATGCTGTGGGAAAAATAAATCCATTAAAAAATACATTTTGTATAGGTAAATGGATGCAACTAGAGACCATACTTGTAAGTGAAACAAATCCGATCTGCATATGCAAACATCATATTGTCTCACTAGTGTAAGAACTTGAAAGAATAAATAAAATCTGAAAGGTACAATAGATACTGTGAAAGGGAAAGAATCTGTTCAAAGGTGAAGGAAAAACTGAGAAAAGAAAAAAAGACTAAAGAAGCAAGTATACAGGATAACTTGGGTAATTGTACTGCTGATTTCTGCTGGTCTTTTGAAAGGAGCAGTTAATACTTAATCTTTTTTCTCCTTTTTAATTTCTTATAACTTTAAAAATCAGTTTTGTGGAGCTGGTGAGATGGCTCAGTGGTCTAAAGCACCTACTTAGAACAAACTAAGCTAAGCAAAGCACAGGGACCATGGTTCAATCTCCCAGCACCACATGCCAGCCAGCCTCGTCCCCTGGTGCGCAGAGCTGGCCGCGCGCGCGCACACACACACACACACACACACACACACTAAATAAATAAATAAATAAAATCCTCTACAATCTCTTAAAAAAAATTAGTTTTGCAAAAAAAAATAAAAATCAGTTTTGCATGCTTATATCTGATATCTAAACAACTAATTTGAAGACATGTCATATACAACCATTGTTGATTTCCTATTTTGTTTAGTGAAATTCAGCATCATTTCTAATGTTTCTTATACTATTTTTTAATTCTCTTTAAAAGAAAAAAAAATCTGGGCTGGAGATATGCCTTGGGTTTGATCCTTAGAACCAACCAAAAAGATTTATAGTTTGGGATAGCTATAGAGCTAATTCAGAAATAATGCTATGTAGGGATTTTCGTAGGTATATATTAAGTTACGAAAGGGTCTATTTTAATGGTCCAGAAGCCAAGTAAACTGATGGAATAGCTGATTAATAGTGATATTTTGACAATAGCAAAATATTTCAAATAATCTTAGTAGTATAAAATTAACAACTGTAGGGGCTGAGGAGATGGCGCAGTGGAATAAGTGCTTCCCTGGCAAGCACAAGGGCCTGAGTTCAATCCCCGGTTCCGGAAAAAAAAAAAAAAAAACAACTGTAGGGCTGGCCAGGTAGCTTGGTGGACTAAAGCGCTGCTCAGGCAGATTCCATCCCCAGCATGCCATGCTGGCCCCACCCTGCTCCGCTTGGGAGGTTGAAAACAGGAGAATCACTACAACTTGGATCTATGTAGCGAGACCCTGTAGACCCTGTGCTACACACAAAAAACAAAACAAAACTGAGTTACTTGCTTATTGTGAGAAAAAAAAATCACTGACCTTGACCATTCTCTCTTTTTAAAGGACAACTTTTAAGGAAAAAAAAAGTTTGTGTTTTGAAAATTCAGCTGTGTGGGAATAATGGAGTACAGTGTTGGAGCAGGCAAAATGGCTTTCTTTTGTCATTGAATTCAAACAAGATGAGTGAGCCTGTGGTGATTGTGTGTTGGAATTGATGGTGGGTATTTCTGTTGATGACTGGCTGGTGGTCAGAGTACTGTAGTGTGCCTGGAGAGGTAAAGGAACAGGAAAGGCACTCGTTAGCTGGTTGCTCACTGAAAGGCAGCTGTTTCTGTACATATCAGCATAGATTACTCAGTAGTCTAAACAGGACTACTTCATTTGTAGCCTTTTTTGGCCAGAGAAAAGTCAAACCTTGTGGAGACCGTTCATTTCATTAGAACAGAATGCTACTAAAATCTGAGATTCATTAAGAAGCAAAACAAAACACACAGCATTAAGTGGAACCAGCAACTCACTGCTCTGATAGAAGCAGTGATAACCTTTCAAATTTGGTCTTTGTCAGAACTTGCTTTCTCTTTCCTGATGGAAAATTGATGGGGGGAGGCCAGACAGAAAACTTTCTTTTCATAGCAGGGCTTCAGGCACTCACTAATCATGCAAATTAGGAAGAGTTGTTCCAACAAGAAATCTTACAGAATTCAAGGTTCTTATGAACCTGCATTTCTGGTTATGCCCAGTATCTTTTTAAAATTTGAAATTAATTGAACCTTTACAGTATTGGCCTCTACTTCTAACTTCTATCTTCTGGTATTAAAGGAAATTTCTTATTTAAACTAATTAGGAGCAAAATAAGCCTAAGTCCCTAAACAGTCAGAATTGTGACATGCAGTGTTATTTTTCTTAAACTGGGTTAACTAATACTGAGAGTCCTTGGTTTATTGTACACACTTATTTGTAATTGCTCCATTAAAAGCAATGGTGTAGCTTTTTCAGATATATTCTTTTCTGTAACAACCGCCACCATCCTGGAAATAGGGTACATGGTTTTCCCCAAAACATGCACACTGCCAGTGCATCAGCGTCCCACTTTTTGCAACAGGCATTTCTCACCCCAGCCTGAAATATTGTTAGGGGGTCACTGTCATGCTGTTGGGTTGTCAAGCAAAAGTGAAAACCTTGCCCTCCAGGAGAGCCCTGTGAGGTGAGTGCCAGATGGACTCCAGGGTCCTACCAACTTGTTAAATATTTGAGCAGGTGAGACCTTGAGGATCATGTACTCCTAAGGCCCCCTCTTTTTATGAGAGTGGTAGGGCCCAGAAAGTAACTGTGAACTAGTTTATAAGCAGCCTCACAGTTTGAAGCGAGGCAGTACGATGTGTGGTAGGATTTGTTAGCTGCTGTCATGGCCGTGAGAGGCGCTGTCCACTGGAGGCATGTTTGTGGTGAGCTACAGGCAAGAAAAGAGGTGCTGGGCCGGACTTCCCTGGGAGACTGACTCTTGGCTGGGTCTTATCCTCTTCTAGGACCTAAAGATTGACCAGAAGACACCTCTACGTGTTCTTCACCGAAGGCCCTTGGCTGTGAGAATGAGAGTCATTCACTCCATGGAGACGCACTTCGTAGATGAGCACCATTTTCGCCTCTGTCTGAAGACCCAAGCTGGAACGTATCCTTCACCACCAGGCTGCAGTACTCCAGCCAGAGTCATGCTGGGAGAGTTAACTCTGCTCTTGAAAATAGGTTCAGCTTGGTCTGGTACATTGTAGGAAAAGGGTTATACTAGACAGGAGCCCCATTCTTTCTTTAAAGTATCTTTCCCATTAATTTGTGGTTTTTGGCTGGGCGTGGTGGTACACACCAGGAGGCTGAGACAGGAGGATTGCTGTGAGTTCAAGGCTGGCTTAGGCTACACAGTGAGTTTAAGGCCAACCCAAACTGTATAGTGAGATTATGTCTCAAAAGAAAAGAGAAAAAGTAAAAGAATTGTTTTTTAGAATGACATTTTAAACCAGGAGAGAAATAGTCAGTTCACTGTCAACTTTAATGTTATTTATGTTTCTTATACATTATTTAGCACATGGTGAGTACTCAAAATAATTTTGATTTGTTGTCATTAAACGTCTTACAAGTCATATGTTCATTCATAAACATATTTAGGTTCTTTCAAGCATTTCAAGCATTTGCCCCAGATTAAATACAGGCAGTAGAAGGGAACTGCACTGTTTAAAAAAATTGTTTTGAGATAGGTTCTCTCTATGTTGTCTAGGCTGACTGTGAATTCCTAGACTCAAGTGACCCTCTTGTCCCAGCCATCCAAGTTCCGAGACTACAGACATGTGCCACCATACCCAGTGCCTCTTTGCTTGTTGATATTCTTTCTTTACATGCCTTGTGAAGAAGCAAACAAAAAAGGCACTTCAGGGTCCATATCATTTATATAAGTTATATAGACTTGGTTGACTATAACATTATGCTGGCATTTGTACCATTTTGAAAGACTACAAGGAATCGGTGTAGTAAAGTGTTGATATGCAGACTATGGATATTTACCCATAGTCCAAAGTTGACTTATGTGGTTTTATATCACAAGTTACTGGTTAAAATATATCAGGGAGATCTTATAGTCTTAGCCTTAGTTATTATGTTTGAGTCAAAAACATTTCTTGAAGGTAGTGAATAAACTTTGAGAAAATGGGAACATAATAAAAACATATTATATAGTCTTGCTTTCAGTTATTTAAATTTTATCTTTCCTTTTTTTATGTTTTTTTTTTTATTTTAGGGAAGGGTGTACAAGGTGTTCAGGGTCTCACTACTAGATCAGACTCATAGTGATCCACCTGTTGACAGCCTCCCAAGAGCTGGGATTACAGGCTCATGCCACCATGCCCAGTCTCAATTGCATCTCAGTGTGCCTTGGGGGCAGGGCCAGCATGGCAGGCTCAGGGATCGAACCCCTGGCATCCACTAAGATATTTGGCTGGCCCAAAATTTTATCTTTCCTATTGAAATTCTGTTAAATATTTTATACGAATACAGGTCATTTTTATGTTAGAGAGAATAAAAAAATAAAAATGGTACATAATCTCAAAACAAGATGAACTTTTTTTTCAGTAATGGGAATCAAACTCGGGGCCTTGCCCTTATCAGGCAAGCGCTGTGCTGCTGAGCTATGTCCATGGCCCAGTGATAGGAAAGTAATAACGATTGTTATATTGCATATTGTTATTTTCAAAGTAGTTGCTCAGATTACCAGATATAGGTATGCAAAATGGATCAATTAGGCATTAATTGTTCCTTTCAATAAACCAATAGAAATTAGTTGTACAATTATCTTAGTTATCTTGCATATCGATATGTATTTTTTCTTTCCTTCCTTTCTTTTTCTTTCTCTCTTTCTTTCTCTTCTTTTCCCCATCCCAGTTATTCTTTCCTTTTGATCAGTTTCTTTTCCTTTCACAATATCTATTGTACCTTTTGTATGTTATTTACTCTTTTCAGTTTCTTACAATAGGGAGGCAATATGTTTATATATTTGAGTCTGATTTATCTCACTTATGAGTATGGTCTCTAGTTGCATCCATTTACATATAAAAGTCTTGCATTTATCTTTCTTTATAGCCGAGTAGTACTCCATTGTATAAAAAGACCACATCTTTTTTATCCATTCCTCAGTTGATGGGCATTTAGGTTGTTTCCAAGACTTAGCTGTGATAAATTGTGCTGCGATAAACATGGGTGAACATATATCACTGATGTTTTCCATTCTTGTGGGAAAATACCTTGGAGGGGAATAGCTGGGTTAAATGGGACCTCTAATCCTAGTTTTTTGAGGAATCTCCACACTGACTTCCACAGTAGTTGTAGCGGTCTGCACTTCCACCAACAGTGAAGAAGCATTCTTTTCACAGCCCTGCCTGAATGCTGGCTTTTAGCACAGTGTGAGCTAATTTTTTCCTGACTTCTTAGCAATATTGTCAAGGTTACAGTACAGTCCTATGTAAGGAAAGTTAAGGAAATCTTATAAAGAACAATTCTAGAGTTAGTGATTACCTTCAAAATCTAAAGAGCTCTAAAGGAAGTACAAAATCACTCTTTTAACTTGGCCTGGGGAGATAGCTCAGTAGAATAAGTGCTTGCCTGGCAAGCTCAGGGTCCTGAGTTCAATCCCTGGTACTGCAAAAAAAAA